CCAAAATACTTAACTTTGAAAAGAGCCTCAGGATTTTCCCTTGTTCTTTTTCTGACATAAATTTGTAATATTCTTGCTTTCTTGGAGCCTGATGACACTATAAATGAGAATGTAACTAAAAGTGTATGCTGCTCATTAGTGCAGCTCCAACACACCTGTGCTGCACTATGTCTATAAAAGGCTGGGCTTACTGCCTTAGGAAGCACCGTATAAAAGAGGCTGCTTCAGGCAAGATCCCTCTTGGGAAGAATATTGTTTTCTCTTTAAAAAATATTAGTTCTAATAGTTTCTTCCTACAAGGCATTGAGAAGACAAAGAAAGAGGCTAAAAGAAGAAAAGCACAAATCTGCCAAAATCTAGTTAATTTCTCTCATGAAAAAATCGTATTAACAAGAGTTGTGATCTTTGTACCATACTGATTTACCATGAGCAAAGAAAACATGATTTTAAGTGTTTGTGTCTGGAGATGTTAAAAGCATAAGTGTTAGAAACCATGGTTCGACTGAGGGCTGTAGGGGCTTGAGAACTCTCCTCTTCCATGGGCTCCATCAGCCACTCCTCTACCCCCGATCCATGCCCCAATATGCGTGCCATTTAAATAAAAGCAGTGTACTTGTTATGCACACAGACTTAACTAAAATTACTTAAAGAAATTACTTTCCAGTCAGATTGTCACCCCTAAATAATCTCCAGGTAGGAATTCTGAAGCCGTCACGCTAGAATAGCAAACCTAGACGCAAAATGGAGGTCCTCATGCAATGCGTGAAACAGTCCCTGCATCGGTCCTTGCTGGTTCCCAACTTAATTCTATTCACTGCCCCCATCTCCGCACTAGCAGAAGACTGCTTTTGCTCAGCGGGGCACGCCCAGCTGCAAGACCACCTTCCCTGGCCTCCTGTGCTATTATAGGTGCCATGGGACACAGTTCTAGACAATGGGAAGGAAACAGAAACTTTGAGTAGGGCTTTTCAGAAAATTATTTCAAAAAGAGCAACTGACTTTGCTCTTCCTCAGTTTTCATACCTGGAGAAAAAATATAATACTAGGGGTGGAGTAGTCATCCTGTGATCAAAAGTGAGGGATGTGAGAGACAAAGTCACATGCTAAACATGGCTGGACAGAAAGACAGACGGGATTCTGGTCCTTGAAGACATTGTGGCGTCAGCACATCGTTCCATAAAAACGTGAAACTCTTTGTGCAGCTAAACCTATCCTAGACTGGTATGGTGTACTCTCAGAAGGGAAGTTTTTGGTAATATTACCAGACATGATAAAAAGCGATTATACATGTGTTTATACTGAAGTACTAAATCTGTTCCTGGGACGAGATAATTAATACTTATTGTGCACTTATTAGATATTAGGCACCTGTTCTTATGCCAGTTCACTTAATCTTCATAGCTACACCAGCAGGCAAATGTTATTATCTGTCATTTTATAAAAGAAGAATCCACTGTTCAGAGAGGTTAAAAAAATCTCTCAAGGACACACAGCTTGTGCATCAGATCCCAAAGTCCATTCTCTTTCCACTAAACGATATTGCACATATCTACTATTACTGTGTTTCTTGAATGAATTTCATTTTGAATATCTTTATAATGAAATACCTCAAAAATAAAGAAAATTATAGAGGATAATATAACTATACCATGAATTCACTGTTGAACACTGAAATTGCATAGCATTTTGCCAAATTTGCTTCAAAAATGTTTAATGAAAATAAAATATCACAGATCTATTAAAAGCTCCTTCTGTACTTCTCCAGTTACAGCCTCTTCCCTCTTTCCCTCCTGCTCCCTAGCACTGAACACTATCTTGAGCTTGCTGGGTATTATTCCCTGCTATAGTATATAATTTTATCACATACGTTTACAAATAAGGTAATGTTTTGTGTATTTTTATGAATAGTATATTGAATTTGTCGTTTTCCCTCAACGTTATGTTTTTGAGATTTTGTTATATTGATACTTGAAGCTCAAGTTTCATCTACTGTATAATTTTTCTTCGGTAAATGTACCAAAATTTTCTTATCCGTATGCCTATACTGATGGACATTGAAGAAGCTTCTAAAAGCTGCCATCATAAACAGTTTTGCAATAAACACTTGGATATGTTTCATTATGCATATATATGTGTGTTTCTCTGGGATATATACATATCTACAAATATAACTACTGGGCCATAGGACATACCACTATTAACTTTGCTAAATATCACTAAATACCTCTCCAAATGAGAGTATTTTTCTTCATATTCTTGTCAATAGTTTCTTTGCTTAGACTTTTCAAGATTTTGCAAATCTGATGGTATGTGAAACATTATGTCATTATGGTTGTTCTTTGTATTTCTCTCATTACTAAAAAGGTTTAATATGAGTTATTGTTATCCATTTGGGCTTCCACTTCTATTGTTCTATTGTTCATACCATTTCCATATTTTTCTGCTGAGATCTTTGTCTTTTTATCCTGGGAGTTCTTTTAATGTTTTAGATACTAATGCTTCCTTTGTTATGCGTCATTATGCATGTGTATTGCATAATTGATTGTCATTTTACTTTATAGGGTGTTTTGTTTAAAAAGAGTTTTAACTTTCAATGGAGACAGATATATCCATCGTTCCTCTTTTTTTGTGTATGAGGTTATTTGTCTTGTTTGGAAATTCTCCCTAAAGAGAAAAATACTGTTTTTCTCTACTCACACGCCACTTCTGGCATGAGATGTGTGTGTAGGAGGGAGTTCCTACACCAACCAGTTCTCCAGCTCTCCAGACACCAAATGGATATTCTACAACTCAGTTCTGACACTAACTATACTGTGGTTAGCACAGACTCCACAGGTTAAGAGGTCTGTCCCACAAGACTGCCCCGCACTTCAGATGACAATCGAAAGTCTGGGCCTCTGGTATTTCTGACCTACAGGTTATAAATAAGGTATTCCTATGACTCCCTCCTTGGGTCGACAATTTGCTAGAATGGTTCACAGAATTCAGGAAAGTGATTTACTTACCGTTACCAGTTTATTATAAAGGATACAATTCAGGAAGAGCCAAATGGAAAAGATGTACAGGGCAAAGTATGTGGGAATGGGTGCAGAGCTTCCATGCCCTCTCCAGGTTTGCCACATTCTCAGCATCTCAATGTATTTACCAACCCGGACTCTGAATTCCTTTGGTTAGGAATATGGAGACTGCATTACATAGGCATGATGGATTATATCATTCATTGGCCACTCGTGATTCCATCCACCTCCAGCCCCCCTCCCTCAGAGGGGTAGGGCTGAAAATTCCAACTATAATCTCATGGTTGGTTCTCCCCAAAACCAGCCCTCTAGTCTTAGGGGATTTCCAAAAAGCCACCTTATTAACATAAACTCAAGTGTAGTTGAAAGCAGCTTCTTAGGAACAACAAAAGCATTCCTTCACCTTTATCATTAGAGCTACTTCAGGAACTGGCAAGAAAAACCAAATATTATTACAAAAGATGTTCCTATAGCTCTGATCATTTTGTAAATTACAAGAGTTTTAGGAGCTCTGATCAGGAGCTGGGGACAAAGACCAAAATATATATTTTTTACATCACAATATCACACTCCCTATTCCAAAATCATAAACATATAATCCTATACTGTTATGTCTAGTGTCAGTTTATAAAAAGACCTTCTATAGCTTAATTTGGTCAAATTTATCATTTTTTGTTCATGGGTTTTTTTGTGTATTTTAAAAAATTCTTACGCCATCATGAAGATGTTATCTAATAATTTTCTTCTCAAGGTATTATTGCTTTGCTTTCCATATTTAGGTCTTTAATCCATCTGGAAATGATTTTTATATAAGGTATGAGGTAAAGATCTAATTTTGTCTTATTTTACCGTATAGATAAGAAATTATCTAACAGTTTCCCTTTTGGTCTTTTCCAGACTGCTTTCTGACATTTTTGTAGCATGTTTCTGTATATAGGCTCTCTATTCGGTAACATTCGCCTATCCATCTTTGTAAAAATTCCATATTGTCTTAATCACAATAGCTTTATTATAAAACATGATATCTGGTTGATCAATACTGCCAGTATTCTTATTCCGTCAAAATTATCTTATGAATCCTATTTTTTTTTTTTTCCTTCCTCCCTTGGGCCATAAAATTTTATTGGCAGATCAGGGGGAGAGCCAGGGTAAGGGTCCCTCCCCTCTATGCCCCTACCCATGGGCATCCTTCCACAGGAGGGCGGGAAGCCCAAGAGGCTGCTGGACTCAGTGGGCATTGGGGGGCGGCGGGTGGACGAAGCGGCCGTCCTTGTGCTCCAGCACGATTTGATGGGTGACGTCCTGGGCCTCCAGCAGGCTTCGGTAGGTGGCGATCTCCTGCTCCACCCGAGTCTTGACGTCCAGGAGCAGCTGGTACTCCTGGTTCTGCCGCTCGGTGTCAGCACGCACGTCACTCAGCTGGGCTTCGATGCTACTGATCAGCGCCTGGATCTGTGCCAGCTGAGCTCCGAAGCGAGCCTCCGTTTCCGCCAGCGTGCCTTCCAGGGCGGCTTTCATGCTGAGCTGAGACTGCAGCTCGATCTCCAGGCCCTGGAGGGTGCGCCGCAGGTCGGTGATCTCCGTCTTGTTAATCTGCAGCTGCTCCGTGTGGCCAGCGACCTCCCGGTTCAGCTCCTCAGTCTTGGTGGTGAACCAGGCTTCAGCATCCTTCCTGTTCTTCTCAGCCATGACCTCATATTGGCTTCTCATGTCGCTCAGGATCTTGGCTAGGTCAATGCCTGGAGCGGAATCCACCTCCACAGTGACCTGGCCCCTCAAGACACTGATTTCCTCCTCGTGGTTCTTCTTCAGGTAGGCCAGCTCCTCCTTCAGGCCTTCGATCTGCATCTCCAGGTCAGTCCTGGCCAGGGTCAGCTCGTCTAGCACCCTGCGCAGGCCATTGATGTCGGCCTCCACACTCAAGCGCAGAGCCTGCTCAGTCTCGAACTTGGTTCGGAAATCGTCTGCAGCCAGACGGGCATTGTCGATCTGCAGAACAATCTTGGAGTTCTCAATGGTGGCCCCAAGAATCTTGTCCCGCAGCTCCTCGATGGTCTTGAAGTAGTGGCTGTAGTCGCGGGCGGGCCCGGGCCCCTGCTTCAGGTACCAGTCGCGGATCTTCACCTCCAGGTCGCCGTTGGCCTGCTCCAGGGCGCGCACCATGTCCAGGTAGGAGGCCAGGCGGTCGTTGAGGTTCTGCATGGTCTCCTTCTCGTTGCCCGCCGGCAGCCCGTCGGACCCGGCCAGGGTGCCCGCATAGCCACCGCCGTAGCTCCCGGAGGAGGACGAGGTCACGAAGCTGGCAGAGGACACCGACACGCCGCGGCCGCCCGAGCCCCCGTGGATGCTGGGCGCGCGGATGGTGCCTCCGGCCCCGAAGCGCAGGGAGCCACTGCCCAGGCCCCCGAAGGACGAGGTGGCCGAGGACTGGCGATAGCTGTAGGTAGTCATGGCGAAGGAGGACGCGGCGACAAGGGTCGGAGGAGCTGCGGTTGGCAGGAGGAGTCTATGAATCCTATTTCTTTATACATTTAAAGTTTTAATTTTTTTAGAACGGTTTTAGGTTCACAGCAAATTTGAAAGGAAGGTACAGAGAGCTCCCTCATACTCCCTGCCTCCAAACATGCATAGCCTCCCTATTATCAACATCTCCCACCAGAGTAGTACATTTGTTACAATTGATAAACCCACATTGACGCATCATAATCAACCAAAGTCCATAGACGACTTTGTCAACATAAAAATAAGAGGCAAAAGGAGAGACAGAGAGGCATTTATTTTGGAATCAAGGAATTGAAATTCAGGGAGAATAGATTCAGGTAGAAACTCAGTGTCCTGATTACAGGAAAGGGACTCAGGGTTTTTATGGGGAAAGAGAGGAAAATGAGATAAGTTGTACTAAAGAAGAGTTTATAGGTGCGAGATGAGGTAACACTAGCTTTGTGCTTCATAGATTGGTTTGAGATTTAGTTATCAGGCAAAAGGCTAGACTTGTATTTCATTGATTCAGTCATCAGCAAAGTCCAATTTCATCTGTCCTTACAAACGGGATATTCCTGTCCTTGTTGACTTCTTGGAATGCTGACAGTCTGATCCAGTTCAGAAGATTAAAAAATCAAGACATGCAAGGTAATTCTTCTGAAATGGCTGCTCCAGTTCTATTTTAATATGGATATTTTTATATCCAGTCCTGTCATCTTTCAGAAACTTAGGGTTCATTCTTGGTGTTGTACATTCCATGAGTTTGGAAAAATGTTTAATGACACATATCCATCTTTATAGTATCACAAAAGCATTTCACTGCCTTAAAAATTCTCTGTGCTCTGCCTATTCATCAACTCCACACCCTCAAGCCTACAAACCTCTAACCCACAACTCCTGGAAACCACTGGGCTTTTTGTTTGTTCATAGTTTTGCCATTTCCAGAATGTCATATAGTTCGAATCATACAGTATGTAGTCCTTTCAGATCTGTTTCTTTCACTTAGTAATATACATTTAAAATTCTTCCATACCTTTTCATGGCTTGATAGCTCATTTCTTTTCAACACTGAATAATATTCCATTGTCTGGGGGTACCACAGTTTATTCATCCATTCACCTACTGAAAGGCATCTTGGTTGCTTCCAAATTTTGGTGATTATGAATAAAGCTGCTATAAACATCCATGTGCAGGTTTTTGTGTGGATATAACTTTTCAGTTCCTTTCAGTAAATTCAGGGACACCTCAAAGATGTTGCAGGTTGGGTTCCAGAACACCACAATAAAGTGAATATTGCAATAAAATGAGTAATAAAACAGTGCATATGAAAGTTATGTTTACACAATACTGTAGTCTATTAAGTAGAAAATAGCATTATATCTTAAAAAAGGTACATACCTTAATTTAAAAATACTATATTGCTAAAAAATGCCAACCTTTACCTGAGCCTTCAACGAGTCCTAATCTGTCTGCCGGTAGAGAGTCCTGACTCAATGTTGATGGTTGCTGACAGATCAGGGTGGTGGTTGCTGAAGGTTGGCAATTTCTTGAAATAGACAACAATGAAGTTTGCCACATTGATTAACTCTTCCTTTCAGAATCGATTTCTCTATAGCATGTGATGCTGTTTGATAGTATTTTACTTACAGTAAAACTTCTTTAAACATTGGAGTCAGTCCTCTCAAACCCTGCTGCTGCTTTATCAACTAAGTTTATGTAATATTCTAAATCCTTTGTTGTTATTTCAACAGCGTTCACAGCAAATTCCCAGGGAGTAGATTCCATTTCGAGAAATCACTTTCTTTGCTCATCCAAAAGAAGCAACTCTTTATCCTTTAAAGTTTTATCATCAAATTGCAGCAAATCAATCACATCTTCAGCCCCCACTTCTGCGTCCAGTTCTCTTGCTATTTCCACCATATCTGCAGTTACTTCCTCCACTGAAGTCTTGAACCCCTCAGTCACCCCTGAGGGTTGGTATTAACTTCTTGCAAACTCCTGTTGATGTTGATATTTTGACGTCTTTACACGAATCACAAATGTTCTTAATGGCACCTAGAATGGTGAATCCTTTCCAGGAGGTTTTCGATTGACTTTACCCAGATTCATCAGAATAATCACTATCTATGGCAGCTATAGCCTTATGGAATGTATTTCTTAAATAATACGACTTGAAATTCAAAATTACTCCTTGATCCATGAGCTTCAGAATGGCTGTTGTGTTAGCAGGCATGAAAACAACGTTAATCTTGTTGTATATCTCCTTCAGAGCTCTTGGATGACAAGGTGCTATGTCAATGAGCAGTAATATTTTGAAGGAAATCTTTTTTTCTGAGCAGCAGTTCTCAACAGTGGGCTTAAAATATTCAGTAAACCATGTTGTAAACAGATGTGCTATCATCCAGGCTTTGTTGTTCCATTTCTAGAGCACAGGCAGAGTAGATTTAGCATAATTCTTAAGGGCTCTAGGATTTTCAGAATGGTAAATGAGCATTGGCTGCAACTTAAAGTCACCAGCTGCATTAGCCCCTTATAAGGGAGTCAGCCTGTCCTTTGAAGCTTTGAAGCCAGGCATTGACTTTTCCTCTCTAGCTATGAAAGTCCTAGATGGCGTCTTCTTCCATATAAGGCTGTATCATCTACACCGAAAATCTATTTTTTAGTGTAGCCACCTTCATTAATTATCTCAGCTAGATCTGCTGGATAACTTGCTGCAGTTTCTACATCAGCACTTACTGCTTCATCCTGCACTTTTATGTTATGGAGATGGCTTCTTTCCTTAAACCTCATGATCCAACCTCTGCTAGCTTCAGACTTTTCTTCTGCAGCTTTCTCACTTCTCTCAGACTTCATAGAATTTCGTTGGTAAGAAACAGTCAAATTATCTTTCAAAGTAGTTTGCCTTCCACCAGCAATGAATGAGAGAGTTCCTGTTGCTCCACATCCTCACCAGAATTTGGTGTTGTCAGCGTTCCAGATTTGGCCATTCTAACAGGTGTGTAGTGGTATCTCATTTTAGTTTGCATTTCCCTGATGACATATGATGTGGAGCATGTTCTCATATGCTTATTTTCCATCTGTATATCTTCTTTGGTGAAGTGTCTGTTAAGGTCTTTGGCCCATTTTTCAATTGAGCTATTTGTTTTCTTATGGTTGAGTTTTGTATATGTTTTGGATAACAGTCCTTTATCAGATATGTTTTTTGCAAATATTTTCCCCCAGTCTGTGACTTTTCTTTTCATCATCTTGACATTGTCTTTCACAGAGCAGAAGTTTTTATTTTTAATGAAGTCCAGCTTATCAGTTATTTCTTACATGGATTGTGTCTTTGTGTTGGATCTAAAAAGCCATCATCATACCCAAGGTCATCAAGATTTTCTCTTATGTTATCTTCTAATTTTATAGTTTTGTGTTTTTACATTTAGTTCTGTGATCCATTTTGAGTTAATTTTTGTGAAGGATCTAAGGTCTATGTCTAGCTTCATTTTCTTTGCATGTAAACATCCAGTTGTTTCAGCACCATTTCTTGAAAAGACTCTCTCTCCATTGTACTACCTTTGCTCCTTGGTCAAAGATCTGTTGACTATATTTATGTGGGTCTATTCTGTTCCATTGATCTATTTGTTCTGTTCTTTCACCAGTGCCACACTGTCTTGATTACTCTAGCTTGAAGTCAAGTACTGTCAGTCCTCCAACTTTGTTCTTCCCCTTCAATATTATATTAGCTATCCTGGGTCTTTTACCTCTCCAGATAATGTTTACAGTCAGTTTGTTGATATCCACAAAAGAACTTGCTGGAATTTTGATTGGGATTTTGCATTGAACTATAGATGTAGTTGAAAAGAACTGCTATCTTGACAATATTGAGTCTTCCTATCCATGAACATGAAATAGCTCTCCATTTATTTAATTCTTTGATTTTGTTCGTCAGAGTTTGTAGTTTTTCCTCATATAGATAATGTATATATTTTGTTAGATTTATACTTAGGTATGTCTTTGTTTGGCGTAATAATATAAATTATATTGTGTTTTTAATTCTAAGTTCCACTTATTCATTGTTGGTACATAGGAAAACAATTGACTTTTGTATATTAACTTCGTACCCTGCAATCTTACTATAATTCCTTATTAGTTCCAGGAGGGTTTTTTGGTTGATTCTTTTAGATTTTCTACATAGACAATCATGACATCTGTGAACAAAGACGGTTTTATTTCTTACTTCCCAATCTGCATTCCTTTTTCCTTTTCTTATCTTATCTTATTCAATTAGCTTGGACACTTCTCACACTACCATTTTGGAAATAATTATGATATAGTTTTTAGATAGATTGGCTTTGTCAGGTTAGGTGACTGCTCCTCTATTCTGCTTTGGAACTTTAAAAAATTATTAGCAAATGTTGAATTTTATCAAATTACTTTGTACATATTGAAGTAGATAGATAGATAGATGGCAGATAGATGTGTAGATTTTATGATGTAGAAAATAAGTTAAAATTTCTGGAATAAATCCTTTTTAGTTATCATACCTTTTATTGTGCCATTGAAATTTATTTACTAAAATTTATTCA